GAGGGACAGCGCCCAGGCCCAGAGTTCAGGTCCCATGACTGGACGACCCCCCCCCAAAAAAAAAAGGTGGTAGAGTGCTAGCCTTGAGCAAAAGAGCTTAGGGACAGCACCCAGGTTCTGCGATTAAGGTGCACAACTGACACACAAAAATAGCACCATCTTAGTAGTTGGGGTTCTTTTTTTGTCGGTCGTGGGCCTTGAACTCTGGGTCTGGGCTCTATCCTTCAGCTCTTCAGCTCAAAGTGAGCGCTCTACCACTTGAGCCACAATGCCACTTCTGGTTTTCTGAGTGGTTTATTGGAGACAAGAGTCTCATGGACTTTCCTGCCCGGGCTGGCTTTGAACTGCAATCCTCAGATCTCAGCCTCCTAAGTAGCTAGGACTACAGGCGTGAACTGCCGTTGCCTGACCTTAATATAATTTTGCTATGATAGCAGAAAGCAAAAGACTGAGTCTTTGACTTATTTATGCATGATATCCACAAACAATAGCATGATATCCACATCTGAGGAAGGCAATAGCTACACTGTTATATGTACTGATTATACCCCACCAGGAACACCAAGTCCGTTCTCAAGTACCACACTCAAAACGAGACCTGACAACTGAAGCTCTTCCATAGGGAATGATAATTAGAATTGTGCAGGACTATCTAGTAAGAAGCAAGAAAAGACTTGGGAAGTTGGAAATTAGAAGACAGACTACAGGAGCTTCAAGAACTGAAAGGGTGCCTGCGATGTGAGAAAAGATTCATCAATATTGCTTCAAAGGGCCAAACAAGGCCAAAGAGTACAAATTACATAAGGCAGATTTCAACTAATTTCAACTAATTAAAGCTGTCAAACAATAGACAAGTTCTTAGAAGCTCAAAGAGTTTCTAAGAATGAGCAACCTGCTCTAGGAGAGGTCTAAAGAAACCCACTCAGTGATTGAACAACCATTTCTTATGTGAATGGGGAAGCCTAGATGCTTCCTGCAGGCTCATCCACTTCTAAGGGACTCAAAGAGTCTCTATTCCAAGAAGTGAAATGAACCCAAATACCTCTAATATCAATTTTCCATCTAGGCACCTTGCCCAGGACATAACAGACAAGGAGGAAGGAAGGAAGGAAGGAAGGAAGGAAGGAAGGAAGGAAGGAAGGAGGGAGGGAGGGAGGGAGAGACAAGGACCTAAAAATATGATGAAAGCAAAACCTGATGAAAGAAAAGTAGTTAAGTATAGGGTTACAGCTTTACTAGGCTGCTCCTTCTTAAGAGTGCTAACAGAATGATTACTAACAATAGGTATTATTAATCAAGTATATACTAGGTACCAAGCATCATATTAAGTGCATTATTCAAGCAATGTCCTCTGGGAAGATGAGGCTAGTGATGCCCAGGGCATGTCATATTCAACACTCTGAGGGTCTTCCACTACTTGGCTCTTCCATGGTAAGAGCTGCTAGCCTTATTCAGCTCCTGATAGGCTGGCACTTTACTCTTCCTCAGACCTGTTCCTTTAAGCTCTAAAAGAGGTATTCTTTTCTTTCTTTCTTTTCTTCTTTTTTTTTTTCCAAATCCTTGGGCTTGGGCACTGTCCCTGAGCTCCTTTTGCTCAAGGCTAGAGCTCTACCACTAGAGCCACAGTGCCACTTCTGATCTTTTCTGAGTAGTTTATTGGAAATGAACGTCTCATGAACTTTACTGCCTGAGCTGGCTTTGAACCATGATCCTCAAATGTCAGCCTCCAAAGTAGCTAGAATTACAGGTGTCCAGCTAAAAAGAGGTTTTATTATAGGACCTGAACTCTAGGCCTGGGCACTGTTCCTCAGCTCTTCAGCTCAAGGCTAGTGCTCTACCACCTGAGCCACAGTGCCACTTCAGGCTTTTTCTACTGATGTGGTGCTGAGGAATCAAACCCAGGGCCTCATATATGTGAGGCAAGCACTTTACCACTGAGCTACCTTCCCAGCCCAAATAGAGATACTCTTTTTTTTTTTTTAATGTCAGTCCTGGGGCCTGAACTCTGGGCCTGGGCACTGTCCCTTAACTCTTCAGTGCAAGACTAGCACTCTACCTCTTGAGCCACAGCTCCACTTCCAGCTTTTTCTGCTTATGTGGTGCTGAGGAATTGAACACAGGGCCTCATGCATGCAAGGCAAGCACTCTGCCACTGAGCCACCTTCCCAGCCCCAAAAGAGGTATTCTTATCCCTCCCTCCTCTTTTTTTTCCTTCCTCCGCTTTTTATTTTTAAATAAAAAGGTGAAGGAGATCAGAAAGGTTAAGTCACTCTTTCATATCTAAAGAAAGGGAGAATTAGAACCCATGTTTAACTCTGCTATCCATGTTCTTTCTGATGTAATTTCATTTGGAACCTTAAATTCAGAGTTCTTTAGTTGGGGTATGGCTCAAGTGGTAGAGCAAGAGGAATAGGAAGTTAAGATGGAAGGAAGGAAGGAAGGAAGGAAGGAAGGAAGGAAGGAAGGAAGGAAGTTAAGAAAATCTAATGTAATGCCTCTGGGACTGGAGAGAAATCGGTTAGTGAGAAGTTGTGTTCCTAAGCCTCTTAAGAATACAATGAAAATATTAATCCTCATCCCAGAAAAACACTTAGGTTTGGACACTAGGTGACTTCATTCCACCTCCGTGCATAAAGGTGAAGAATCCCTTCAGTAAGGACAGGTTTAGGGGGAAATTTTTAAAAATAAAAAAATACTGTTTCTGCATGGTTAGCAGTAGTCCCTTCCCCTTTTTATGGGGGCTCTTTGAACTTTCTTCACCTGATCCCTAAAGTCTCCAGGTTGCTACACAATTTACGTAAGAAATCCATGAATGTGGGGTGGGAATGTGGCTTAGTGGTGGAGTGCTTGTCTGGCATATGAAGCCCCAGGTTCAATTCCTCAGTACCACATAAACGGAAAAAGCAGGAAGTGGCGCTGTGGCTCGAATGATACAGTGCTAGCCCTGTGCAAAAGCAGCTCAGGGACAAAGTCCAGGCCCTGAGTTCAAGCCCCAGGATCGGAAAAAAAAAGAAAAAATTTAAAAAAGGAAAGAAATTCGTGAATGTAACCGAAAAGGGCAAAGTCTCAGCCTCACTTTTTATTCATTCTACAAGCAAAAGAGTAGAGCTGAAAAGCCTCAGACTCTCCTCTCATGGGGAAACTGAGGCAGGCCCCGCTTACCACCTCGTAACTCTGCACCTTAGGCTGAGTGCCGGAACCCCACCCATCCAGCACCTGGGACTGCACCGGCGCCCTCCTGGCTGGGTGGGACGCAGGCCCTTGCTTGCCCCACCGGATCTCAGACACCACCTCGCCGACCCCCAGCCTCCGGGTCTCGGCTCCTACTTGTCTGCAGCGTCCTGAGGAGCATGAGCTGGCACTTCTGGTTGTGGGTGAAGAAGCTGGAGAGGAGCCCTTGCTGGGGCTTCTCCTGCGCCGGCCGCTCGGGGAAGACCTGGAAGGAGGCGGGTGGCGGCTGCTGCGGTTCCCCCGCCGCGGGGCCTGGCTCACGCTCGTCCCCAGCTCCCGCCATACAGCTCGAAAAACCTCGCGCCGACCGCGGGGAGACAGGAAGAGGTAACCGACCCACCCGCCGCCCACCCCACCGTCCAGCCCTTCCTCTGCAGGGCGCACGGGCCGTGGGGTTGGGCGGAGGGCGTTGGGCCCGCGGGGTCTCCCAGCCTGGTTAGGGGATAGGGCGGGCCCAGATCGGGGCGGGGCCAGATCGGGGCGGGGGTCAGCGGTGGGAGGTGATTGGGCGGGCCAGGTTCGGTGGGCGTGGCGAGATGTCTGGGCGAGTGGGCAGGGCCAAAGGGGAGGGATGGGGCATGAGATGGGCGGGGCGACAGGTGCGGGGCTTACAGGCGTGGGCGGGGCGCCACGCAAAGGCCTGGGCTGGAGCTGTCAACGGTCTTGGCTAGAGGCGGCCATGGACGTAGGTGCCTTTCCCTTTATCATGGGTAACCAGTTCACGTAGGCAGCCTTTTGCTGCCTGCTGAACAGTTAGGGGAGTCCTGGACACTCCCTCCTCCTCCTCTCCAATACTGGCCACTAAGTCTCCTTCTGCCATTGAAAGTCTTCGCCATCCTCCCACTCCCCTGCCACACTCCTGTGCAGGCCGGTTGCCATCCCTGATCCAGCTCTTCCCTGACCTGTGCCATCATTCCTCCGATCCACTCTATCCTAGACAGGACGTGATGTAAGAACGGTTTTTCAGAAACACTGAAAACGCATAGAATTATAAAGAATGACATCAAAAGCAGAGCAAAGGTGGCTCACACCTGTAATCCTAGTTACTCAGGAGGCTGAGATCAGAGGATTGAGCTTCAAAGCCAGCCCAGGCAGGAAAGTCCATGAGACTCTTATCACCAATTAATTACTAACATGCCAGATGTGAGGATACCGTGGCTCAAGTGGTAGAGCATTAGTCTTGAGCAAAAAAAAAAAAAAAGCTCAGGGCCATTGCTCAGGCCCAGAGTTCAGGCCCCAGGTCCTCAACACACACACACACACACACACACACATGGCTCATCAGGAACCATTCATCCACAGTACTTTCTCACCTCTAATAATAATTCTGATAACAAAACATATGCTGTTCCTTTTTACCTCCAAAGCTTAACTCATACTATAAACTTGTCTTTAAGCTCTTTTTCTCAGCCCCCATAATTAGGTCAAGACTGTAAGGTATATTAAATAGGTAGGTTTCATTAGGTAGCCGATGAAAAGAACACCAGGCACTATTCAGGCAGGAAAAGAAGTTTATTTACGGAACTGCTGCCCCCCTTCATGCATTGTGGAGAACATGGCTGAAAAGGAAAGGGGTGAGGTTGGGGGGGGGTCGACCCACCTCTGGGCCAGGACTTATCTAGGCCACAGACTGAAACAGGTGTGGCCAGGTGGGGGAAAGGTATGGCCACACTGGATCTGGATGTGAACTCAGGGTCTAGGACCCTCCTAAGGTCAGATGGGAGGCATGTGATCAGAGATGGCCTAGGATGTGACCTAGAAGGAGGGGAAGGTGACTGCTTCCAGGTCTGCCAGTTACCTAGGTAACATATACTGGGCGGAAACTTAGCCAAAAGGGAGGGAGGTGTCCCTGTGCAGACCTTACAAAGGCTATCACTCCACCACAAGGCATTACCAGTGACCCTAACCAAAACCAATGTCTTCAGTTCTCCCAAATTACTTGTTATTTTCATCACAGCCTTCCAGATCTTATCTAATGTATGTTTTGTTTCCATTCTAAATTATTCAGCTCAGCTTACCACACATTATCATTCAGCACCTACTCCGTGGGACCAGTCAGGTCCACAGAAACAAGATGATTAAGAGAAATGCTGAAGGTGAAAAGCAGCATATGGTTTATGTAGGAAACACACCTAAATAAAATATGGGTTCACAAGGCCTTAAAAGACTTATGAAGTGCCTTACACATCATTGGTGTTGTTAGTATCTAAATTGAGCGATGCAAAAACTATTCATTCATTTGAAATATTGTAAGACTATAAATATATTTAGTAGACTGCAGAAGCTTAAATTTTTTAATATTTTTATTGAGATTACCTTGGACACTTTTAAATGTTCTCTATTGTTACTATAAAAGGCATGTACAGAGGGATTACAGTTACATAAGTCAGGTGAAGAGGGATACATTATATCTAATCCTCACTTCAACCTTGCAAAGTAGTATTATCCCTAATTGATAAATAAGGAAAGTAGGCTCAGCAAAACTGAATTATTTATCCAGGACCACACAACTAGCTTTCAATCTAATTAAAGAACTAAACCATATACATATAGAAAACTAAACCACTACAATATGATTAGTTTGGAATGCTGAAGAAAGCTATATACAGAAAGAAGAATATGAAATGGACCTTTGACTAAAAACATGTGAAATCTTACTTGAAATATGATTACACTATGTGAATAAGCAAAAGAAAAAAGTATAAATTAAAAACTGCAATATTTCCCTTTAAACACTTTCTTTTGGTGTCAGTCCTGGGGCTTGAATTCAGGGTCTGGGTGCTGTGCCTAAACTTTTCTTTTCTTTTTTTTTTGGGGGTCCAGTCCTGGGACCTGAACTCTGGGCCTGGCCGCTGTCCCTCAGCTTTCCAGCTCAGGCTAGCACTCTACCACTTGAGCCACAGCACCACTTCTGGCTTTTTTCTTTTTGCTTATATGGTGCTGAGGAATCGAACCCAGGGCCTCAGGCATGCAAGGCAAGTGCTCTACCACTGACTGAGCCAACTTCCCAGCCCTAAACTTTTTTTTTTAAACAATCAAATACAGTGGTATGCCATATGTGTAACTTCATCCACATAAAGACAGAGGGGTACCTGGGTACCTCCTGGCAACTCAGGAGGCTGAGACCTGAGGATCACAGTTTGAAGCCAGTCTGGGCAGGAAAATCCCTAAGCTCTTATCTCCAATTAACTACCTAAAGTGGAAGTGGAGCTGTGGGTCAAAGTGGCAGAGCACTAACCTTGAGCAAAAAAAGCTCAGAGACAGCAAGCACCCAGGCCCCGAGTTCAAGCCCCACAACAGACAAAGAAACACATACACACACACACACACACACACAAATAGGGGTGCAAGAAGGCAGTACAAGCACAAATAATTTTTTTTGTTTGTTTGTTTTGCTGACCATGGGTCCTGAACTCTGGGCCTGGGTGCTGTCCCTGAGCTCTTCAACTCAAGGCTGGCACACTACCACTCCAGCCACAGTGCCACTTCCAGCTTTTTCTGTTTATATGGTACTGAGGAATCAAACCCAGGGCTTCATGCATGTTAAGCAAGCACTCTACCACTGAGCCACATTCCCAGCCCACAAATGACTAAAAGCAAACTACTGCCAGCCAGGAGCCGGTGGCTCATGCCTGTAATCCTAACTACTCAGGAGGCTGAGATCTGAGGATCCCAGTTCAAAGCCAGCCCAGGCAGGAAAGTCCATGAGATTCCTATCTCCAATAAACCACCAGAAAACCGGAAGTGGTACTATAGCTCAAGCTGAAGAGCTGAGGGACAACACCCAAGCCTAGAGTTCAAGCCCCACAACCAACAACAACAACAACAAAAGGAAAAGGAAAAGGATACTACTGCCAAGAAATGAGAGGAAGGAAAAGACTAAGCTCTGACCTTTTTCACTTCTCCACTGCAGAATTAATTAGGAGCAAAGAGCATAGCTTAAATGTCCACTAAGAGGTGTTAAGCATATCTTTTTTTTTCAGTTCTTGTTTATTTGCTCTTTGTTGTTTAAATATCAAGGCAGCCCTCCAACTTGCCATAGTCCTATATCAAGAAGCTATGCATTCATTTATTATCTAAACCAAAATCATTGTGCTTTTTTTTTTTCAAACAAGATATAAACTGTTTTGTTTTGGGGGAATGCCAGTCCTGGGGCTTCAGTCCATAAGCTAGCCCTCTACCACTTGAGCCACAGCACTACATCTGGCTTTTTGTGATTAAGTGGAGATAAGAACAAAGTCCCACTAGCTTCAAACTGTGATACTCAGATCTCAGCCTCCTATGCTGTCAGGATTACAGGTATAAGCCAGCAGTAACCCAATTTAAATCTTTTTCCATAACAAATGAAATTACATGTAATTTTTAAAATGCTTACCACCTTCCAGATTTTTAACGTTTTTTTCTTTTGACATTTTGTTTGTACTGTAGTTAGGTTTAACCCCAAATCCTCCCGGTAGACAAATGCAACACTTTCGTGTTGTTGGGGTTTTGGTTTTATTTGTTTTTGGATCTGATCACTTTTTCTGAGCTAACTATTCCTCTTCTTCCTCCCACTACCAGGGATTTGAGATGAAAACTATGTCACGCCAGCTTTTTAACTTTAATAGTTTGCTTTTTTCTAATTTAAAAATTATGTCCATTAACGGTGTTTTAGCATATTTTCATGTATATATTTGAACATATAAACACGTGTGTGTACATGTACATATGTGTACGTGTGCGATGCGGAATAGTAAATCTAGCTAATTAAAACGTACATCCCTTCTAGGGGTGTTCTGTTTTGTTCTGTGCTGGTACTAGGGCTGGGGTTTGAACTCACGGCCTGGGCACTGTCCCTGAGATTCTTTTGCACAAGGCGAGCGCTCTGCCACTTGAGCCACAGCACCACTTGCGGCTTTCTGGTGGTCATTTGGAGATCAGAGCCTCAGGGACTTTCCTGTCCGGGCTGGCTTCGAACCACGATCCCCAGATCTCATGCTTGAGCCCCCGGCGCCAGCTGGTGGTTTCACTGTTTAAAATACCTAACCAATTCGAAGCCTTAAAAACACGGAACCACAAACGCTCCCCTCCCACTCCGCCCCAACCGGAACCGCGGACAACAAACGGGTGGCTCTTTCCGGAAGGAATTGACCGTCAACTGCGGATGTGAATGAGAATAAGGAGGTGCGGAGCATGCTGGGAGGAGGCGGGGTTAGAGCGCTGTCGGTTACCACGGTAACCAGAGACGTTAGCGGGAAAAGCTGAGACGATCTGGGGGTCTCTTTCGGAATGAGCGCCTGGGTGTAAGAAAAACTGACCAATCGGGTTATCCCGGCAGGCTCCGCGCGCCTGGAAACCGAGGCGCGCCTTTTCTCTTTGTAGGCCGGTGCACCGTGAAGGCTGGCTGCACGCTCGCTTCTCTGGTTTCTCTCCCTCCTTTGAGAAAAATG